GAGCACAAGCAGAATACGGGACCTTATCCAGAGAAGCAGCGACATCAGAGATGGAGGCAGAGATGGGGTTATGGAGAGGTAGAGCGGCAGAGGACTCTAGATTCATGGGAAGGAAGGGACTAACAGCTGGTGGCCAGGAGGCAAACTTGCAGAAATGTGCCCTTTGGAGGTATAAATTATTATATATGCCTGAGTGTTTTTTTTCTAAAAGTGAATAGAGAGAAATACTGTTAACTGATGGTACATGGAGGGAATTATCATCATTGTAATGAAACAAGGTATAGGATTTGTTCAATGTAAAACTGATGATCTGCCCTGTAAACTTTCACTCAATCCCAATAAAAACCTTAAAAAAAAAAAAAAGTTTGAAACCTGATTTCCAACAGAAAAACAAACAAACAAAAGGTATAATTTAGGAATATAGAAACATGTACGCACATGAGTATACAAAGAATACTGTAAAAACACATGACTGACCAAAGAAAGAGGCATCAGCCTCTAAAACAGTTGCCATTACCCAAAACATGCTGCTGATGCTAAATGTCCTCAATTACTGGCAAGTACAGGGCTCGGATACATGAAAACACAGAGCAGCAGTTCATTTCTTTTATTTCCCCATCTTTATAATGTAGTATCATGAAGCACCTCATTAACTCGGACAAAGCAGTATAATCCCATATCAATTCCATAATCTAGGATCAATAATTTTAATATCCAACAGTCTAGATCCTGAAACTTTTAGCATAAAAATAGAAGATATAGTGCAGTAACAGCTCTGGCTTCTATGCAACATCAGCGGAGAGGAAGTAGTTTCCTGTGATGATTCCAACTTACTGTTTTCCTCTGTTCAGCTGCTACTGGAAAAGTTGGTGTGGTTGGAATCCACACCACTGAGGCACCTCAGAACAAAGACCTGACAATCCACTTTGAGAAAGCAAGTCACTGAAAACCCTACCAAACAGAATTTTACTCTGACACACATTGGGTTGCCATAAGTTGGGATCAATTTGATGGCAACTGGTGACTGGTACACTTTTTTTTTTTTTTAATTAAATGTTTTTATTTTGGATTGAGTGAAAGTTTACAGGGCACATCATCAGCTTCACATTCAACCATTCATATAGCTTGTTTCATTACATTGATTATTAT